ACTTCATTTCAGCAGATAATCTGCTTGAGGCAGTCAAAGCGACGTCCACCAGGACCTTGTCCCACATCCCCAAGGCTGCCCATCACCAAGCAGCAGCCAAACTCACCAGTCTGCTGACGAAGGTCAACAATGCTCCCAGAACCTCTGGATCGTAGCACAATTTCCTTCTATTTGGGAATGCATGCCTAGCATTACCGCCTAGAAGAGGCAAGTCATTAGCAATCTCTGTAATCAGGGCACTTAATGAATTCCCCAGAGCAGACAACCTGGTCCGCCTCCCCCCTCGTGCCAAGAACACCAGCCGCAGGACGACCAACAATAACTCATCTGAGAACCACAAAATGAGAGCACAGATCACCAGGAAAATAGAAGAGGGCAATACCACAGGTGCCATCAGAATCATGACCAGCGATGACAACATTGCCCCCAGGAACCCCGCAACAGCAGAGGCTCTTCAAGACAAACACCCACCCAGAGCCCCAGACAGCAGCAGGGATCCCCAGGAAAACAATGTTGGAATAGAACCCTTGACTGTTCGAGAATCTGAGGTGTACAAAGCAGCCATGTCTTTCCCAACAGGTTCAGCAGGGGGCTTTACAGGCCTAAGACCCCTGCACATCAAACAAATGCTGAACCCGGTACTTGGAGATGCTGCTAAGGACCGTCTAGTGGAACTTACCAGATTCTCCAACATGTGTTTGGCTGGCGGCATCCCTGAGGACATCAGGCCTGTCTTTTATGGAGCAGCACTCTGTGCTCTAAAGAAGAAGGATAGGGGTATCAGGCCCATTGCCGTTGGCAACACCCTCCGACTCCTCATAGCTAAGGCTGCAGTGAGATCTATCAGCCAGGAAGCAGCCACCTTGCTGAAACCTCATCAGCTCCGGTTTGGGATTCCCCTAGGCTGTGAAGCTGCAGCTCCCGTCTTCTCTCCATCCTTAGTCAGTTTACACATGCCCCCTAACGCTGACTTCGCTGACCCTGATCCTGACCCTGCGCTTCGTTAACGTGCTGTGCTCCTTTTCCACATTTGTTTCTTCATTGTTCTGTGTTGCTGTCGTTTCTCTTATTGTCGATATCTATTCTTCAATGAAATATTCGTGGATATTTCGTCAATTTCCATGAACTCCAACTTCTGATTTCACAGTTTTCTCCCCTTTGTGTCTGTCTCCAGGAACCGTTGCTTGGTGTTCATCCTGGTCGCTTCCATGGCTAATCCCTTCTTTCCCCCTCCCCCCGGCTTTTTCTGATGTACCTTCCACTTCTGCTCTCTTGATTTGTTCTGATGTTCCCTTCATCCCCCTACTTCTTCCGTCGCCTCTCCAATGTTCTGCTGCACGTGTCTTTGTGCGTAAATGATACACGGTTTGTTCCATTTATCTCCCCCCAAATGTCCCACTTTCTCTTCCCAATCTTAAACACCAACTGGACTCCTTGTCGGAGCCTGTGCTCCTGCTGGGTGAATTGTCGACATACCTTCTGGGGTGATGTTCTGACAAACACCCCGGGTTGCCTTCTCGTACCGTTCATCCTTTCTTCTTCCCTATCTATTCTGTATTCTAGTGAGTCCACTCGTTTGGACTCTCGAACTCGCACCCTTTTCTTTCTTGATCTTTCTCTCTGCTCGTCGTCTCTGTACTTGGATTTCACGTGACGGATTCTTCATGTCCTCCATGGCAGTGACCATTTCCTCATCCTTGTTACCTTTTTCTCTTTTCACCTTCCCCTCTCCTTCCCTAAGTGGTAGTTTGCCAAGGCAGACTGGAACCTATTTACCCTCCGTGCTGCTCTCTCCGACCGACCCATTCTGCCTCACCTTCGCGCCCTCCTCCTTTTTCATGACACCATCTTCGACGCTGCCCTGTGCTCTATTCCTCGCTCTCTCTTCATCTCGGGGACCACGGAAGTGTGTTCCTTGGTGGAATGTGGACTGTTCTCGGGCTGTCTGCTGTAAGCGTGCAGCCTGGAAGAGACACCGCCGCCGGTAAAACGGCTGATTCTTTTCATTTGTTTCGGAAGGCAAGTACTGTGGCCCGTAGGGCCATCCGTACAGCTAAGCGTGTGTGTTGGTAGTCTTATGTTTCCACCATTACGTCCGAAACTCCTCTGCTGCAGATCTGGAAGTGTATCCGCAAAATAGCGGGTCAGTTCGTTCCCGATGTCTCGCCAGTCCTTCATCTCTGTGATACTCTTGTGGTGGACCTGTTGCAGGTCGCGTCCGAACTGGGTTCCTACTTTTCTTCTGTTAGCTCTGGTTTTCATCTTCCGCAATCTTTTCTTCTTCGTAAACATGTTCTTGAATCTCGTCCTTTAGATTTTTGCACCCATCTCAGACTTCCCTATAACGATCCCTCCTCTCCCTCTCTCTCTGACTTTCAGTTTTCAATGGCCTTCTGCAGTTCAGAAGGCCATCATTGACTCCGATGCCATTCATTATGAAATGCTTCGCCATCTCCCTCCGTGTACGTCTCAGTATTTACTGAGTTTGTATAATCGGGTCTGGTAGTCGTCGTCAGTCCCTGAGGACCGGCTCAATGCCGTTGTCCTCCCCGATCGGAAATCAGCGTCTGTTGGGACATCCCTTAAGGACTTCCGCCCTATTGCTCTCACGAGTTGTCTGCAAACTCTTTGAACGTATGGTTAATGTTCATCTGTTGTGGTTCTTAGAACACTATCACCACTTCTCCCCTTCTCAATTTGGTTTCGCAATTGCTGCAGCACAACAGATGTCCTGATGAACTTAGAGGATTCATACTGCTTTTGCTGCGAAGACCTCCGTTGTTGCCGTCTTTTTTGACCTGTAAAAGGCTTATGACACCACCTGGCGATATCATATTCTGTCCCAACTTCATTCTTTTGGCCGTCGTGGTAATCTTCCTGTCTTTCTCCATAGCTTCCTCTCTCATCGTTCCTTTCTAGTGAGGCTTGGTGTCACTCTATGCATATTTTCGGCAATACGAGGGTGTGCCCCAAGGTAGTGTTCTGAGCACTACTCTTTTTCTGGTTTCCTTCAATGGTCTTCTTTCCTCTCTTCCTTCAGGCGTCTTCTCCGCTCTTTATGTTGACGATCTTATCCTTTGCGGTCGGGGTGATGATTTGCCTGTCCTGCAATGGCGGCATCAACTTGCGATTGATGCCGTGTCGTCTTGGGCCACCGATCATGGCTTCAGGTTCTCTATGTCTAAGACTTGTGCTATGACTTTTACTTGGAAGCATGTTGTTCTTTGTCCCTCTTTGTCGCTTTATGATCAACCTCTTGTGTACAAGGATTCCACTAAGCTTTTGAGGCTGATTTTTGACACTCGTTTGTCTTGGTCGCCCCATATCTCTTACCTCCGAGTTGAATGCTTTAAGGCCCTTACTCTCCTTCAGGTGTTGTCCCATACTTCTTGAGGAGCGGATAGGCGCAATCTCCTCGCTTTACATTCCTTTCTCGTCTTGTCTAAATTCGATTATGGTTGCCCTGCTTACTCGTCTGCTTTTCCTTCTACTCTTCGCTGTCTTGATGTTATGCACCATACTGGGTTGCGCCTCAACTTTGGTGCCTTTCGATCGATTCCCGCCTTCAGCTTGTATGTTAACCCTGGCTTCCTATCTCTCCAGGACCGCCGTGATCTCTACTGTATTCGCAATCTTGCGCGGTCCTTGCAACATCCTTCCTCTCGCCTCTTTCTTGCTTTAACTTTTACCCCTCCTGTGGTTCCAGTTCCTCTTCACCACCTCCCTCTTTCTGGCCGGTTATCTTACTTACAAGATTCTCTTTCAGTTCGCATTTCTAATATTTCTCCTCTTATTGTTCCTTCCATGCCCCCGTGGAGAGTCCCCCTTCCAAAGTTCTGTACATCCTTGACCCGCATCACTAAAGCTTTTATCCCTCCTACGGTTCTGAAACGCCTTTTCTTGAGCACTTTTCTTCACACTCCCGCTCCGTTTCCATCTTCTCCGATGGGTCTAAGTCTGCGGACGGTGTAGGCTACTCTGTTGTTTTTCCTGATCGCACTTATATGTGTGGCCTACCTCCGGAAACTAGCATCTTCACAGCAGACATATTGATGTCTCCTTAATTGAGCGTGTGGATGCTGCCACCAGGGAAACTGTCCGCTCTTGTCCAATTTCCCATAATGATATTCCCTATTCCAACTTTTACCCAGTTATTCATTCCTCCATAATACCCGTTGGCAGGATTGTTGGTCTTCTATTACTGGTAACAAACTGCATACTCTTAAGAATAGTGTGTCCTCATGGCCTTCCTCCTACCACCATAACCGGCAATGAGAAACAGCTCTGGCGAGGTTGCATATTGAAAATAAATGCTTAACTCATGGTCACTTAATGGAGCACCGCCCTGCTCCTTATTGTCAAAATTGCATTGTCCCTCTTATGGTCGTTCATATCCTTGTTGAATATCCTGACTTCCAGGACGAGCGTGTGTCTTGCTTTCCGACCGCCTCTTGCGGTCGCTTGTCCCTCAATAAAATTCTTGGTGAATCGGATACTTTTGATATCGTTCGCCTTATGCGTTTCTGTTATCGTATTGGCATCCTTGGTGATATTTAGCGCCCTCTTATTATTCTCTTATTATTCTGCACATTTGATGGTGCTACATAGCCTTCCCAGTTTGGTGCCTTCTTTTGATAATTACTTACTTCAATGAAGAACCTATGGAACCAGATAGTTAAAGATAAAAAAAATAATTACCTAGACTTTCTGGATAAGGCCACATATGAAGACATCATCCACAAATTTGAACTAATCATAATTTTGTGAATTATTTAATTAAGAATCTTAGTTCACAATAATTCGAAGTTGAAGGTAGTTAAAAGTTAGGAAAGGATTTCCCATTCATATTCCAAACATTTGAAGGAATAAGCTGCCTTTACATTTAAAATATTATCTTCGTTTTGTAACAATAAAAAAATGGGGGTAACAATTTCATTTCATTTATATGAACGTATTAGCTTGAAGACAGGTTACATTGAAACTTAATTCAGATTTCTTACTCGTGATCTTTTTTGGAGTCCTTTACGAGGAGCAGCATGGCGTTCATCTTGGAGTAGATCCCACTCAGGGTTGGATGGTTCAACAGAGAGACGTCGGTGAGGACCAGGAGCCTCGTCGACGACACCAGGAGGCGGCCCTTGAGGGACCACTGGGCGAAGGCGGCGAGGAAGGCGAGGTCGTCGCTCACCACCACCACCGTCACGCACCATGACACCTGCCGCACCTGTTGTACAGAAAAGCCCGTTTTTTTCCTTTAATACAAGTCAAGGTTGGAAGGATTGTAAATATTGTAAATTCAATTAGTATGAATATAATTACTTGGACTTACTTGAAAACCTTGAAACAATAAATGCTCGTTGACCAGTACCGACCTGCACTCCCTCTGCATTGAGTCTACTTGTGAATGACAGGTCAAGCCATGACCAGTTCTGGTGTGGTCGTCTCCTCAGCAACACCGGAGACGCTCTTAGATGTATTGAAAACATACCTATATTGTCTCATTATATCACCCACACTCACCTTTGAAGATACTAATTATATTATCCTTAATAGTTAAATTAATAGTTAATAGCTTTGACCACACCAAAGCACCAGCTTCGTTGAACATATTCTCGAAAGCTAATGCAACTGTTTTAATGCAATATTAGATAAGAGCCAAGTAAATTAGGACATTTGATTTTTGTGCTTCAACTTAAATTAATGATATTGCCTTCGGAATCATAAAAATTTAAATTCTTCAAATCTTATTTTTATCTGTATTTATTATAGATTGATTAAGAATTTAATTCGATAATTAACACTGGTTTCTTCCTTGACAGCCATGAAGGATACAACTTTGCATCTTTAAATTTATATTTACTGGTTAGCCTGTCAGTGGCCTATAATTTAATATAAACGTTACCTTAGTTAATAAAAATTCTATTTTTCCATTTTACGCTCCAGATGATGTGGGTAGTATCATGGAACAAAGGCGTTAACTTGAGTGCTCATGGTTTTTAATACAAAAATGATAACGTTGTGTTTGATTAATCAATCATGAAATTGGTTTATTATTTATTTTAGCATTAATACCTTATATTAATTGCTATAAATGTTTCTCATAGATGGGAAGAAGAGCCGACTGCAGCCCTAACTATCTCTTATTACAAAAATTAAAACAAAATTATTAATAAAGATAAATATGTAAATTTCTCCAAATTTGCATACACTTTTAAATTGTGAAGAGGTATATAAATAACACCATATAGACACAAGACAGGAGAGAGATTTTTTTCGGCTCAACAGTTTAGACGTTATGTGAGAGTAAAGTACCCACCTCAGTAGTGATGTGAGAGCGACCTACCCACCTCAGTAGTGATGTGAGAGCGACCTGCCCACCTCAGTAGTGATGTGAGAGTGACCTACCCGCCTCAGTAGTGATGTGAGAGCGACCTACCCACCTCAGTAGTGATGTGAGAGCGACCTGCCCACCTCAGTAGTGATGTGAGAGTGACCTACCCGCCTCAGTAGTGATGTGAGAGCGACCTACCCACCTCAGAAGTGATGTGAGAGCGACCTGCCCACCTCAGTAGTGATGTGAGAGTGACCTACCAGCCTCAGTAGTGATGTGAGAGTGACCTGCCCACCTCAGTAGTGATGTGAGAGTGACCTACCCGCCTCAGTAGTGATGTGAGAGTGACCTACCCGCCTCAGTAGTGATGTGAGAGCGACCTACCCACCTCAGAAGTGATGTGAGAGCGACCTGCCCACCTCAGTAGTGATGTGAGAGTGACCTACCAGCCTCAGTAGTGATGTGAGAGTGACCTGCCCACCTCAGTAGTGATGTGAGAGTGACCTACCCACCTCAGTAGTGATGTGAGAGTGACCTACCCGCCTCAGTAGTGATGTGAGAGTGACCTACCCGCCTCAGTAGTGATGTGAGAGTGACCTACCCGCCTCAGTAGTGATGTGAGAGTGACCTACCTGCCTCAGTAGTGATGTGAGTGTCCTACCCGCCTCGGTAGTGATGTGAGAATGACCTACCTGCCTCAGTAGTGACGTAAGAGTGACCTACCATCCTCAGTAGTGATGTGAGAATGACCTACCCGCCTCAGTAGTGATGTGAGAGTGACCTACCTGCAGCATCAATAATGAGAGGGGCATACCTGAGGCAGCAGTAATGTGAGTGAGATGAACCTGCAACAGCAGTTATATGAGTGTTGTCTACCTGCGGAAGTATTTGTGTGAGTGTGGTCTTCCTGAGGCAACAATAGTGAAAAAAACTATCTGCAGCAGAATAATTGAGTATGTCATTGAATAATTGTCACCTACCTGTGACAACAGTTATTCGAGAGTGTTCTACCTGCGGCAGCAATTGTGGGAAAATCTGGCTCCAGAATATTAATAATAAAAATAATTTTATTAATATCGAAGGAGAAATTTCTTATTTCTCTCTTTATGGGAGAAATAAATTAAATATGTAAATTGGAAATAATTACGAGAACCAGTGCCTATGTATCTCTTGAATAATGGGACAATTTCTCATGAAATAATAAAGTAATAATGGACTGTAGAATAATAATTAAATTATAGAGCCACATCCCTCAACACTCTTTTGGGGCTTAATATGATAGTACAAAGAAACTAATTTGTTACTTGCACAATAAATTAGATACTAATGCGTATCAAAGAATAAGCTGTTAAGATATCAAGAATATCAGTAAAAAATCACATGGCAAAAATATATAGATGTTGGTAAATATATGATCCTATATTGAAGATCAGTAATTAAAGAAATGTTAGTAATCTACTAATGTAGAGCATAAACAGCGGTGTTGCTGTGTTGCAGAAATAGAAGTAAGCGTTTGGGCAGCCACATCTAGAAAACTTATCGAAACAGGCTGTCCTACAACACGTGTTGAGGTAGAAGCTTATCACCCTTCTTGTTACTATGGCTCAAGCTGATATACGGGTAAAATGTAAGATTTGCCTATACCAATGCTAATTAGCAACTATTTCTAAATGAAAATGTGGAGGCGATCTAGGATGGGACTCACTTGTTGATATTTTGAGCCCATGCGGCCTAACGACGAACATCCGACAAGTTAAACATTTAGTGATCACAAATATTATAAATATCAGTAGGAACTTAGCGTCTTTGTGTTCGCCGAGTTGAGTGTGTGATTAATGATGAAGCCGCTCCAGCTCTTTGGCATCCACTGTTGCTAGGATAACATAAATACGGGCTGGTAAAATACGCCAGCTCCAGACACTGCTTGTCAGTTACAATATGGCTGCCGTCCTTCTCCTCCTTCCTTTCGCCCACGCATGCGCATTCGCTCTCAGTTGGGAGCCCGAGCGTAAATTATATTATTTATTTAATCTATATAAATAAAAATGTAAATGTTCGATTGTTCAAAATCGCTGATCTCCAAAAGTTCTTCACCGATTGCTTTGAAATTTTCACACAATGTTCCATTCGCATTCTAGCGGGTTTATATATACATATTATATAGATGTCACGTCTGTAACGGGAAAAAACATGTTTTTTTAGAAAAAGTGTTTTTCATGGGAGGGAAATCATCGAAACCTCTTTACCGACTGGTTTGAAATTTTGACACAAAGTTGCATTCGAATAGGTGCGTGTTTTTATATACCTACTTTATGCATGCCACTTCTGTGACAGGAAACAACATGCCTTTTTTTAAACATCGCCCTCTGTTGGACGTAAGAGCAACACACGCTGTAATCTGCGAAAGTTCTTTATCGATTGCTTTGAAATTTTGATACAAAGTTCCATTCGAATACACGCGTGTTTTTACATTCCGACTATATAGATACCACACCTGTGACACGTAAAAACATGCTTTTCTGAAAAACAGCGTCATCTGTTGCACATAATAGCAACTCACACTATACTAAATATGTTACAATTCCGTTTCAATGTTTCCGATTGCATTGATATATTTAATTTTCATAAATTTCGATTTGTTTTCATTTTGATTAAATTATTTGATGTGACATTTCGTTGCAATTGAGCTGTGTTGTTTACCATGCCATTCATTTCCGGAATATAGTTTATCTTTGTATTTTTTTATTTCGTTTTTAACAGTTTTTCTTATATTTCAGTGATGGGAACATCAGATCATTTGATGTTCCCAATTTTCTGATGTGAACATCAGACCATTTGGGAAGGCATCGGACGAGGGAGTGGGGAATGGTGGGGATGACGATGGGATGGAAGTGAGAGATGTATAGGATGACGAGGGGACAAGGGAGGGGGTAATGGTGGGGAAGGACGAGTGAACAGGGAAGGTGGGGATGGAGCAATGGAGAATGGTGGGGAGGACAAAGGGACAAAGAAGTGGGGCATGGTAGGAAGGAAGAGGGAATGGTGTAATGGGGAATGATTGACGAGGACGAGGGGACGGTGGTGTGGGGAATGGTAGGGAGGCCGAGGAGATGGGTGGGGGGGGGGGGAATGGTGGGGAGGACTGGGGGACAGGGAAGATTGCTGTGGCTCAGCAACGCGCATGCTTTGCTGAACCACAGCAACGCGTGGCCGGGTACAGCTAGTGTTAAATATGGAAGAAAGTGAGCATGACGAATAATTACATCATAAATAAATGTGTTACATGGCAATATAATTTCTCGTAATGCAAGGCAATTAATTTAGACTGCGCTAAATAAACAAGAAAGATTTAGAGTGAAAATTATTTTACATTATAATAATATTCACTGGAACAGCTAATTTAGCTGGGTAAATGAATTCCAGTTAACAGTAATATACTAAATAAAGTAAACTTAGAAATAACGATTATCCATAATAAAGGGTATTTAAAGGATAATTAACTGGACTCTATTTGATGCACAGATATGTGGAAAATTATTCCCTGTGGCTAGCTGGCTGACGCAACTTCGCCATGAACAGTGGAAAAGGTTTGGCGCGGTTATTACGCAGTAAGAAATGAATTAATACTATTACACTACCGATTAGAAGTATTAGTAAATATAATTGTTACTACAAGAATTCTTCTTAACGTACTAAATGTTAAATGATTATGTCTTGGAAAATTCCAACAGCAATAATGGTAGGAGTGGCCTACATTCGGCAGCAGTTATGTGTGAGGCCACCCTGCAGCAACAGTTATATGAGTGTGGTGTACCTAACACAGCAATAATGTGAAAGTGACCTATATGCGGCAGCAATTATGAGTGTGTGTTTTTCCTGTGGTAACAATGATTTGAGAGTGACCGTCCTGCGGTTGAAATAATGAGTTCGCAACCTACCTGTGGCAGCAGTTATGTGAGATTGACCTACCTAAGGCAGCAATAATGTGAGAGTGAACTACCTGCTGCAGGAATAATGTGAGAGACATTCCTGCGGCAGCAGTAATGCGAGTATGGTCTTCCGGCGGAAGTAATAATATGAGAGTGACCTACCTGCAGCAGCAATAATGGAAGTGTGTCCTTCCTGCGGAAGCAATTATGTGAAAGGGATCTACCTGCCGCATCAATAATTTGAGAGTGACCTTCCTACAGTAGCAATAATGTGAGAGTGACCTACTTGCAGCAGCAGTTATGTGAGCGTGGTCTACATAAGGCAGCAATAATGTGAGAGGGATATTC